CGCTCGCCGACGAGGCGTGGACGCTCATCTCCCTCGACCGCGACGCGTCGGGCATCTCGTTCCGCAACGAGATCCCCTCGGAGCTGCGCCTCGAGATGGACGCCGACCGCATCACGCAGGTCTTCGTCAACATCGTCCGCAACGCCGTCGACGCGATCCACGGCGTGGGCGTCATCACGGCGTCCGCGTCGCTCGCCGAGCGCGACGGCCAGCGGTGGGCGGTCATCCGCATCGCGGACGACGGCCCGGGCATCGCGCCGACGCTCTTCCCGCGCCTCTTCGAGCCCTTCGCCTCCTCGCGCCTCGACGCGCGGGGAACCGGCCTCGGCCTCGCGGTCGCCGAGGGCATCATCAAGGAGCACGGCGGCGTGATCACCGCGCGGAACAACGACGATCACGGCGCGACGTTCGAGATCGTGATGCCGGTCGCGCCGGTGTGCGATGATGAGCCCGACGCCCCCGCCGAGGACAGCCTCTTCGATCACCACACGGAGTTCGCCTCGTGAACGACACGCCAAGCCCGCCCGTTGAAGCCCCCTCGCTGTCGATCGTCGCGCTGGACGACGACCCGGATTTCCGCGAGTACGTCTCCGAGCTCCTGACCAACGACGGGCACGACGTCCGCCTCGCCGCGACGCCCGACGAGCTGTACCGCCTCAACGAGGCGCACCTGCCGGATATCGTGCTGCTGGACATGAAGATGGGCCGTCACACGGGCGAGGAAGTGCTCGTCGAGCTGCGCAAGCGCTGGCCCAAGCTCTGCGTGATCGTCGTCACGGGCTACCCGTCGCTCGAGACGATGCGTCAGACGTTCAAGCACGACGTCTTCGACTACATCGCCAAGCCCTTTTCCATCGAAGAGATGCGCAGCGCGATCGCGCAGGCGGCGCAGAGCTTCGGCCTCGGCGCCCGCCCGCAGGACCGCCTCCGCGCCGAGCTCGGGCGGCACATCCGCCTCGCGCGAACCGAGAAGGGGTGGACGCTCAAGGAGCTCTCCGAATCGTCGTCCGTCTCGGTGAGCCAGCTCTCGAGCATCGAGCGCGGCGCGCACCTGCCGTCGATCGAGAGCCTGCTCGCGATCGCCGAGGCGCTCGACGCCCAGCCCAGCGCGTGGTTCAGGGCCGCGGGATTCTGAGCCCGGTGTGGGAAAGTTCCCGCCCCGGCGGCGGGCGGTTGCCCATATACTGCCTTCATGCCGACCACGCGTCAGGTTACGCGTCTCGTGACAACGCTCTCGTCCATCTCGGGCGGGGCGGTGCTCACCCTCGAGGGCAAGACCGCCACCACCGCCAAGGGGCTGGAGGTCGTGCCCGAGCTGTTCGACCTGCTCACGGAGACGGTCTCGCGGAAGTCTTCGATCAGCGTCGAGGAGCGCGCGGAGATCAACGCGTTCCTCAAAAGGCTCACGCGTCGCTACGGCACGGTCCGTCGCGCCGCCGACGCGATCGGCTCGGCGCGCCGGCGTCACCCGCTCGTCTCGCGAGAGAAGGCGCGGTCGTGGGCGATGGTGATGGGGGTGATGCCCTCCGCCGTCGAGACCACGCTCAAGCGCCACCCGTCGCTCAAAATCCACATCTCCAAATGGCTCGCCGACCGCGGCAGCGCGGTGGACGAGCGCCTCGACGCGTTCGGCTCGTGGCTCGACTCGCCGTTCCCGGATTACGAGACGGACGTGCCCGTGACGACGGCGGAGACCGAGCTGGAGCAGAGCGAGGGCGAATCGTTCGTGCTCGACGTGACCGACGAGAAGGCGATGCGCCTGTTCCACCTCTTCGTCGAGGACAAGCGCCCGGGCCTGCACCCCTCGGACCGGCGGCCGGACCCCGAGGAGGTCCAGCTTCGCGACGAGCTGAAGAACTCCAACAACGCCTTCGCGCGCGCCTGCGTGATGCTCTCGGACGGCCGGTGGGACGACGCGGACGCGCACATCCGCAAGCACTGCGAGGACCTGCCCATCGAGATCCTGCACACGCTCAAGGGCGAGTGCGCGTACAACTCCGGCCGCTTCGACGACGCGCTGGTGCACTACCGCGCCGCGGCGCACAGCTGCGACTCGTCCGAGTGCGTGCTCAACCTCGCGTACACCCTGGCTCGCGCGACGCAGGGCCCGGCCGACGAGCGGTCCCGCGAGGCGCTGGACACGCTCGTCTCCCTCCGCGACCGCCAGCACGAGGAGGACCCGATGCGCCAGCCGACGCTCATCGCGATCGGCGCGGCGTGGCTGCAGTGCCCGTCCGGCGACCGCGACGCGAACGTCTCGCTCGCGATCGAATCGCTCGAGTCGGCGCTCTCCGGCATCGAGCAGGGCGCCTCGCCGCACTGGTGGGCCGAGGCGCACATCCAGCTCGGCGCGGCGTGGCTCGCCCGCCCCTCCGGGAAGCGGATGGAGAATATCCAGCGATCGATCACCTGCTTCACCCGGGCCGAGGAGGTGTGGGACCGCGGGCACTACCCCGAGCACTGGGCGAGCATCCAGAACAACCTGGGCCACGCGTGGGAGAGCCTGCCCACGGGGCACCGGGCGATCAACCTCCAGAGGGCCATCGACTACTTCGATGCCGCCCTCGAGGTCCGCGCCGAGCTCGAGCACCCGCTGAGCGTCGCCACCCTGCGCAACAACCTCGGCAACGCCTGGATCCAGTTCCCGGCCGGCGACCACAAGGACAACGTGCTCAAGGGGATCGAGCACCACTCCGCGGCGTTGGAGGTGTGGTCCACGCACGACAAGCGCCACGAGTGGGCCGCGACGCAGAACAACCTGGGCAACGCGTGGGCGTTGCTGCCCGCGGACGACCCGGACGAGCGGACGAAGAACCTCCGGCGGGCGATCGCGTGCTACAAGTCCGCGCTGGACGTCCGCACGAGGAGCGCGACGCCGATCGAGTGGGCGACGACGCACAACAACATGGGCAGCGCGCTCATCCTCCTCGCGGGCGAGAAGAAGGCCAAGCCCATCCGCGAGGCGATCGACTGCTTCAACAAGGCGCTCGAGGTCCGCACCAAGTCCGCCTACCCGCTCGACTGGGCGAAGACGCAGACCAACCTGGGCCGCGCGTGGGAGCGGCTGCCCGAGGGCGACCCGATCCGCAACATCGACAAGGCGACCGAGCACTACAACGAGGCGCTCACCGTCTTCACCGAAGCGGACTACCCCCACCAGTACGCCCACACCAAGGCGAGCCTCCAGGGCGCGCGCGACCGCATCGCCAAGCTCGGTTTCGGTTGAGGCGGGTCAGCCGCGGAGGATCGTCTGCGTGCGGTCCGGCCCGATGCTCACCAGGTTCACGGGCAGGCCCGTGGCGTGCTCGATCAGCTCGATGTACCGGCGCGCCCCGTCGGGCAGGTCGTCGTACGAGCGGACGCCCTGGATCTCCTCGGCCCACCCGCCGACCGACTCGTAGACGGGCGTGACCCGATCGAGGTCGCACGCGTCGGGCCGGAACCGCTCGGTGCTCTCTCCGCCGAACTCGTACTTCGTGCACACCTTCAGCTCGTCGAAACCGCTGAGGACGTCCAGGAGCATCACACCCAGGCACGTCGCGCCGGAGACCATCGCGCTGTACCGCACCGCGACGAGATCGAGCCACCCGCAGCGTCGCGGGCGTCCGGTGGTCGTGCCGTACTCGTTGCCGCGGTCGCGGATGCGCTGGCCGATCTCGTTGTCCTGCTCCGTCGGGAAGGGCCCGCCGCCGACGCGCGTGGAGTAGGCCTTGAGGATGCCCATGCACGCATCGAGGTGGCGCCCGGGAACGCCCGACCCGGCGTGGATGCCCAGGCCCGAGCTGTTCGAGCTGGTCACGAACGGGAACGTGCCGTGGTCGACGTCCAGCAGCGTCGCGTTGGCGCCCTCGAAGAGGACACGCTTGTTGTCCGCGAGCAGCTCGTTGAGCAGGTAGACGGTGTCGGTGACGTGGGCGCGGAGGCGCTCGCCCCAGGCGCTGGCCTCGTCGAACAGCGCGTCGGGTTCGAAGGGCGTGAAGCCATCGTCCAGCGCGCCGAGGAGCGCGTTCTTCATCTTTGCGACGCGGTCGATGCGTTCGCGGAGGGTGTCCGTGTCCAGCAGGTCGCGGACGCGGATCGCGGTGGCGCGCTGCGCCTTGTCGGCGTACGCGGGGCCGATGCCGCGTTTGGTCGTCCCGATGCTCCCCCCGCCCGAGCCGCCGGAGAGCAGCTTCTCGCGGATCTCGTCCTCGGACTTGTGCCAGGGCATCACCACGTGGGCCCGGTCCGAGAGTCGGAGGCCGGAGGCGTCCACGCCCTTGGCGTCGAGCGTGTCCAGCTCGCGGATGAGCACCGAGGGGTCGACCACGAGGCCGTTGCCGACGACGGAGAGCGTCCCGGGGTGGAAGATGCCCGAGGGGACGAGGTGCAAAGCGTGCTTCTCGCCGCCGATGACGACGGTGTGGCCCGCGTTGGCGCCCCCGTTGAACCGGACGACGGCGTCGAAGGAGCCGGCGATCAGGTCGATGGCCTTGCCCTTGCCCTCATCGCCCCACTGGAGGCCGATGATCGCGGCCGCCCGCCCCCCGGCAAGAGGCCCGATCCCGGGGATCGCGTCGTGCTGACGGCTCATCTGCTCGGTCGATTGGCTCATCGGGTGAAGTTTAGCAAAGCGTCCGGTCTGCAACGGTCCATATCGTGCTTATCGGGCGCACGATGATCGGTTGTGCGGGCTCGGGCTTGATCCGCACCGACGCAGATCCGACGTTCCATGGGGCGTCCCTTGATCCGCTGGGGTGCCCGGCCGATACGGAATTCAGGGAATCACCGGAAGGAACAGGGTCTTGGGAGCCGGAACGATCAAAATGATGTGCCCGAATCTCCGCTGCCGCGCCGTGCTCGGCGTGCCGACGGAAGCGCGCGGACGGACCGTCCGTTGCCGCAACTGCGGGTGCAACATCAAGATTCCCAAGGCGAAGCCCAAGCCCGCGCCGGTTGATGCGGACGCGGACGCCGACGGCGCCGCACGCGCCGAGGGATAGACCGGCGAGGGGGCCCGTTCAGAGCTTCGGGTTCTCGTCGTCCTCGAAATCGAAGTCGAAATCGAAGATGCTCGAATCGTCCTTCGCGGCGTTCGGGAGCACCGATCCCATGTCCGTCTTGGTGACGGTCTCCTCGGGGTCGGATGACTCGAGGTCGTCCACCGCGACGTTGTCGAGGGGGTTGTCCGAGTCATCGTCGGCGTCGAGGCCGGCGGGGGGCGTCTCCATGAGCGAGCTCTCGCCGCTCGAATCGGTTGGCGGCTCGATGTTCGCGGGCAGGCCGTTGATCTGGACGGTGAGCAGGCAGGGCCCGATGCCCAGGACGTCCCCCGCGCCGAGCTCGGCGTTCTGGACGCGCTCGTGGTTGATGTAGGTGCCGTTGGATGAGCCGAGGTCGCGGATGACGAGCTTCTCGCCCTCGAAGACCAGCTCGCAGTGCTTGCGGGAGACGGTGGCGAGGGGGATGCGCAGCTGGGCCTCATCGGTGCGGCCGACGATGTGCCGGCCCTCCCGGATGGGGATATCCTTCTGCGTGCCGTCCGGCTTGAAATACACCAGCTTCACATCCACGTCGGTCGCCCCTTGCATGTTTCGAGCCCCTTGCGTTCGTGATGCCCGGCCCGCCCGTCGGGCGCCCGACTCGATACGGCCCCGTGGAAATGGGGATCCGTGGATCGAAGTGTCTTACCCATTGTCATCGCTCAAGTTCCGGGCGATGGCCCTTCGGCTGCCTGGATGAATCAGACTATACGCTTGCATCAGAATCGGCAATGGCGGACCGCGGAATCCGCCTTTCGCGGGAAAATCCCGCCCGTCAGGCGTTTGTACATCCACGTCCCGTTCTGCTTCCACAAGTGCCACTACTGCGATTTCTACTCCTTCGTGGACTCGCAGGACCGCCAGGACGCCTTCGCGGACGCCCTGATCCGTGAACTCACCCGCCTCGCGGATCTCTCAGGCCAGCAACCCGGGGGTGAGCCGCTCCGCTCGATCTTCGTGGGCGGCGGGACGCCCACGCTCCTCAGGCCGGGGCCCTGGGAGCGCGTCCTGCGTGCCCTGCACGACCGGTTCGCCATCACCAGTGAAACCGAGTTCACCATCGAATCCAACCCAGAGACCACCACGCCCGAGGTCATCCGCGTCCTCGCTGGCGGAGGCGTCAACCGCGTCAGCATCGGCGCCCAGAGCTTCAATCCGCAACACCTCAAGACTCTGGAACGCCATCACGACCCCGCGAACGTCCGCCGGGCGCTCGAGGCCGCGTCGGACGCGGGCATCGAACGGCGCTCGATCGATCTCATCTTCGCCATCCCGGGCCAGACGCTCGACGACTGGCGGGCCGACCTCGACGCGACGCTCGCCCTGGGCGACCTGATCGAGCACGTCTCGGCCTACAACCTCATGTACGAGCCCAACACCGCGCTCACCCAGCGACTCCGCCTCGGGCAGTTCGAAGCGGCGGGGGAGGAGACGGAGATCGAGATGTTCCGCCTCACCCGCGAGCGGCTCAGCGAGGCGGGGCTCGGGGCGTACGAGATCTCCAACTACGCCCGGACGGGCGGCGAGTGCGAGCACAACATCGCGTACTGGCGCCAGGAGGCGTGGCTCGCCGCGGGCCCGTCCGCGAGCGCGCACGTCAACGGGTGGCGGTGGAAGAACGTCCCGCGTCTCACCGATTGGATGGAGTCCGTCGAAGCGAACGACGGCCTCGCGCACGTGACGGACCTCGAACCCCCCGACGAACGCCGGGCGCTCGCCGAGGCGCTGATGACGGGCATCCGCCTGACCCGAGGGTTCGATGCGAGCGCGGCGCTCGCGCGGGCGGATTCGCTCGGCGTGCGCACGGACGTGGAGGACGCGGCGGCGTCGCTCGAGCGCGACGGCATCATCACGATCGCGGGCGAGGTGTACACGCTGACAGAGGACGGCCTGCTCCTGGCGGACGAGGCCGGGGCGCGGTTCATCGGGGCCTTGTCGACGGAATGAGCGAGTCAAAACGAACAGCGGCCCGCCGAGGTGGCGAGCCGCTGGATCTCTGTCTCAACGATCGGTGCGCCGGCTCAGGCGGCGACGATGCGCTTCAGGGAGACGGGAACGGGCGTGTTCTCGTCGGCCGGGAGGATGTGGACCTTGCGGCCGTTCCAGATGACCTTGCCGTCGCAGAGCGCGAAGAGCGTGTCGTCCTTGCCGCGTCCGACCATGTAGCCGGGGTGCCACTTGGTGCCGCACTGGCGGGCGATGATCGAGCCGTGACGGGCGGTCTGACCGCCGTAGAGCTTCACGCCGCGGTACTGCGGGTTGGAGTCGCGGCCGTTCTTGCTTGAGCCTTGGCCCTTCTTGTGTGCCATAGCGGGATCCTCGTCCTGAAGCGGGGAAAAATTCGAGCCGCGGAGTATAGCGGGGTCTTATCGCAAAATCCAGCGCTCCACCGTCCGCTTGAGGGGGCGGGGGGAGGCGGTGTTGACGGTGCCCTCCACGAGGTGGCGGAGCATCAGGGTCTTCCGGAGGACGATCCGCTCGCCCGTGTCCGGGCGGGTCACGGAGCGGGATTCGCCGGAAAAGCCCTCGGCGTAGATCACGACTTCGTCCACGTTAAACCGGTCCAGGGGCCACACGACGAGCCCGTCGCGGGCGTGCTCGCGTCCCTGGAGGAGCAGGCCGGACTGGATCTCCACCTCGTCCATGAGCAGGTCGTTCCCGATTTTCCGCATGATGGCCTCGGTGGCCTCACGGGGGACGTTCCGGCCCGATCGGAGGATGGTGGAAGTGGTCCCGTCCTCCGTGTAGAGCTCGAATGCGGGGTTGAAGGGGCGGTCTTCGCGGGTGTTGTTCGTGACGGTGTACGTGAAGTAGTAGAAGCTCCGGGTGCCCTCGCCGGGGATATTCAGGGAGATGACGCGGAGGTCGCCGGGCTGGATATCGAATTCCCAGCGGTTCGGGACGGCTTCGGGCTCGGGAGCGGCCAGCGCGGAGGACGGCTGGCTCGTGAGGAGCACGAGCGGGCACACCGCCGCCAGGGCGGCCAGGACGAATCGACGCAGAGATTGCTTGCTCACAGCTCGTGGCCTCCGAAGAATCCGTGGACCGAGAAGTGTACGGTATTCACGCCCTCCGATCATGGCCTCCAACGAGAACAACGCGACCGTCCCCGCCGAGGCGGGCTCGCCCATCGCCGTCAAACGCGCGACCGGCCCGCTCCTTCTGAGCGCCGCCCAGCGCCTCGTTGAGGCCTCGGGGCGGTCGGGCGTCCAGGCGGCGAAGGAGTTCCTCGCCGCGGCCCGCCAGCACGGCATCCCGCTGGACAACATGTGGTGCTCCGTCGATCCGTCCACCACAGCGGATGGGCAGCTGGCCGCGCGTCATGTCTGTCTCGCGGTGCCCGGCGACGGGGCGACGCTCATGTGCTTCACCTCCGCGCCGGCCGAGCACGAGGTGGCGGAGCTCGCGTCGGTGCTCGGGACCGTGGTGCGGGCGAGCAAGGCGAATCAGCTCGCCCAGACGCTCCTGAGGCCCGACGAGACGGTGGTCCGCGACGCGTTCCTCGAAGCCGATTTCACGGACGTGGGGACGCTCGAGTACCTCCAGCGCGAGCGCCCGACGCGACACGAGACCTCCGGATGGAAGCTCGCGGAGGGCGATCTGGGCGAGGGTGTCCGCCTGCGAACGCTCCTGCCGGGCGAGAACGCGAAGCTCATCGAGGCCCTGGACCGGACCTACACCGACACGCTCGACTGCCCGGAGCTCTGCGGGATGCGTGACACGCGGGACGTGATCGCGTCGCACCGCGGCACGGGCGCGCACGAGGCGGGTTTGTGGTGGCTCATCGAGCGTGAAGGGGCGCCGCTCGGGGCGGTTCTGTTCAACCCGAACCCGGACCAGGACGCGGTGGAGCTTGTGTACATGGGCGTCGCGCCGGAGCTTCGGGGGATGGGCGTGGCGACGCGCGCGCTGCGTCACGCGCTGGCGACGATCGCGTCGCGGCGCGAGCGGCTCGTGTCGTGCGCGGTTGACACGCGGAACGCGCCGGCGCGCGCGCTCTACGAAAAACACGGATTCCGGCGCACGCACACGCGTTTGGCGCTCGTGCGGAAGACATCCTGAAAAAGTCAAGGGTCATTTCGGGCTGTTTTTCTCGATGTTTTTTCCACTTCTCCACACGTATCCACGGTTTGGGAAGGGCGCGTGCGGCGCGCGTGGATGAAAGAAATATCACAGCCAAAACCCCCGCATACATCGGCACTTTTTGCGACAGTGCCCTGTGTGAAGGAACCGAAGGGCGTTGACCAGCGCGACGGTTTCACTACCGTGTGTTGATGGTCACGGACAGGCCTCGGAGAAACGCGAACGGATCGGACGCGCGTCGCAGCAAGGCGACGCGCACGGGCGATCCGTCGACCCGCTGAGCATCATGAGTGGTGCACACCGCAGCGAGGGCGAAACGCCCCGGTGCGTGTGTCTGTGTCGCTCGGCGTCGTTCACTCCACCGGGAAAGGACTCAGGGTGAAAAGAGAGTTCACGCGGGCGCCCCACGGTCGGGCGCACGGTATCGGAGCGCGCTATGTCTCGAGCCTCCACGTCCCCTGAACACTGCGTTCGGCAGATCGAGAGCATCCTGTCGAAGAACCTCGGCGAGCCCCGTTTCGCGCGGTACTTCGCCAACGACACCCGCCTCGACCTCGCCGACGGCGCCCTCCGCGTCCACGTGAAGGACCGCTTCTACGCGACGTGGCTCTGCAACAAGTTCGAGAGCGATCTCAAACTCGCGACGCGCCAGGCGGTGGGCCTGGACAACGCGCCCATCGATTGGGTCGTCGATCCGGACGCGTTCGGCGACGAGCCCGCGACGGCCGACGGCGAGGCCGCGGGCGAGCCCCAGGCCGCCCCGGCGTCCGAGACGCGGGCGCGCCGCGCCGGCGCTTCACGCTCGCGCTCGCCCCTTTGGAAGAACCCGCCCCTCCGCGGCAGCCTCGAGGACTTCATCGTCGGCCCGTGCAACCGCCTGGCGTATCAGACGGCGATGCGAGTCGCTCGCGGCGACCGCTCGGTCGATTTCTCCATGCTCTTCCTCCACGGGGAGTGCGGCGTGGGCAAGACCCACCTGCTGCAGGGCGTGGCGAACGCCTTCCTCCGGACCCGCCCCGGCGCTCGCGTGCGGTACGTCACGGGCGAGGCGTTCACGAACCGGTACGTCGCGGCCGTGTACAAGAACAAGATGGACAGGTTCCGGGACTCGTTCCGCGACCTGGACCTGCTCTGCATCGACGACCTGCACTTCATCTCGGGCAAGGACAAGACCATGTCCGAGTGCCTGCACACGCTCGACGACCTTGATCTGCAGGGCGCGCGTGTGGTACTGGCGTCGGACGAGCACCCTCGGCGCATCGCGAAGCTCGACCACCGTCTCCAGTCGCGTCTGCTCTCGGGCATGATCGTGGCGATGGACCGCCCGGACGGCCAGACTCGTCGCGCGATGATCGACCGCATCGCCCGGAACAGGGGCCTCTCTCTCGAGCCCGCGGCGCTCGGCGTGCTCGCCGAGCGCTGCGCGGGCTCGGCCCGCGACATCATCGGCGCGGTGACGCGGATCGAGGCGCTGCTCAAGCTCGTGCCCGAGGCGGCCGGCGGCGGGCACGCGGTGAGCCCCGCGCTGATCGATCGGGCCCTGGGCGGGCTGAACATGTCCCGCCCGAAGCGGGCGCTGCGCGTCGACGAGATCTCCCGCACCGTCTGCGCCGAGCTGATGGTCGACCTCTCGGAGATGCTGGGCAGCTCGCGCCACAAGCGTGTGGTGCTCGCGCGGTCGCTCACGGCGCACCTCTCGCGTCAGCTCACGACGCAGAGCTTCCCCGAGATCGCGACGCAGATGAACCGGACGAACCACTCGACGATCGTCACCGCGTGCCAGCGCGTGGAGAAGCAGATCGAGGCGGGCGAGCGCGTGGAGGACCCGGTCTCGAGCGAGCCCCGGCCCGTCACGGAAGTGATCGAGCGGCTCCGCGCCGCGATCCTCCGCGAGAGCGCCCGAGCGAGCAACGCGTAGCGCACGCGGGGCGTACACTGTCGCTATGAACCTTCCCCGCGCGATCGGCGCCATCGTTTTCGCGTGCGTCTCGAGCCTCGCCACGGCGGCCCAGCCCGCCGCCGAGCCCGGCCGGTACGAGCTGCTCTCGGGCGTGCTCTCGTCCGTCGTCGAGACCCGCCCGCAGGACCTGCGAGACCCGGCGCTCCGCGCGCTGCGGTACCTCGAGGACCAGGACCTCAAGCCCTTCTTCGGCCACCTCGCCTCGCGCCGCGAGCCGCTGTACCGCGGTCACGGCATCTTCGGCCTCGCCGAGCTCGAGGACCCGGCGCGCGTGAACACGCACCTGATCGCCAAGATCGAGAGCCCGTCCGAGCAGGCGGCGCTGATCGGCGAGGCGATCCGCCTGGGGTACCTCGAGGGCGAGGGCATCCGTGAGATCCTCAACTGGTCGTCCATCCCGCCGATCGTCGAGGTCATGCTCATCGCCACGCTGGGCGACGAGATGGCGAGCGACACCATGAAGACCCGTCTCGAGCGGCTCAGCGAGGGCGAGTCGCCGCGGGTCTCGCTCTTCGCGAACATCCTGCTCGTGAACACCGACCGCTCCACGGAGCGCACGGCGCGGGTGATCGAGCAGCTCAACGCGATGCGGGAGGTCGAACGCCTGGCCACGCTCGCGATCGTGCTCGGTCTCGTGCGTGACAACGACCTGACCGGGACCGGCCCCCTCCTGGCCGCGCTGTGCGACGCGTTCGCCGACGACGACCGCGTGCGCCACGACGCGCTCGGGACGTACCTCATCATCGACCCGCAGGCCGCGGGGACGCGCTGGAGAAAGGACTTCACGCAGACCGATTCCCTCTCGGCGAAGGTCCGGCTGATGTTCCACGCGCTGAGCGCCGCCGACCGGATGGACGCGTCGCTGTTCAACGCCCTGAAGGACGAGGGCAACCCGCTGCTCGGTGCGCTGATCGACGCCGCGAAGGCCCGCGCGTCGGGCAATCTCGACACCCAAGCCCTGCTCGCGCTGATCGACACGGGCCACCGGGCCGCGATGTTCTGGGTGATCGATCACGTCGAGGATCTCCCGGACGAGCGGGCCGTGCCGGTGCTCCGCCACGCGGTCGACCGGGCGGTGGCGCGCGAGGACAAGCACGCCCCCGTGACGCCCGCGTTCGCCGAGGCGGCCGCCGGCCTCGCCGGGCGGGACGCGGATCAGCTCGTCGAGCCGCTGCGGCGGTCCGTGGCTTCCCGGGACATCACGGCGGTGGACGGCATCCTCGTGGCGTTGCTCCGCGCGTCGGATGGGGTTCCGTGGGACGCGTCGACCGAACCGGAGTGGACGGACGACCGCGCCGAGGCGCTCTCGATCGTCCTCCACGCCCAGTTCGAGCCGGGCGAGCTCGAGGACGAGGCGCACCGCGAGAAGCTCGAACGCGTGGCCCTCGGCTTCGGCGGGCTGCCGCAGATGTTCCGGGTGCAGGCGGCCTGGATGTCGCTGGAGGCGCGCGGCGAGGGGCGTCGTGTGACGGCGCAGCTCATGGCCGGCACCGGGTCTGCCGATGAATAACCGAGCCACCTTCGGGGACCCAGCATGATCGACGATATCCCTCTTTCGAAGCCCGACATCACGCAGGAGGAGATCCGCGCGGTCACCGACGTGCTCCGCTCGGGCCGGCTCTCGATCGGTCCGGCGCAGGAGGCGTTCGAGCAGCGGTTCACGACGGTCACGGACACGCGCCACGCGGTCGCGTGCTCGTCCGGCACCGCGGGGCTCCACATGGCGCTGCTCGCGATGGGCGTGGGCCCTGGCGACGAGGTCATCACGACGCCCTTCTCGTTCATCGCCTCGAGCAACGCGATCGTCTACACCGGCGCGAAGCCGGTGTTCGTGGACATCGACTCACGCTCGCTCAACATCGACGTGAGCAAGATCGAGGGCGCGATCACGGAGAAGACCAAGGCGATCCTCGCGGTGGAGGTCTTCGGCAACCCGACGGGCATGGCCGAGGTGCGCGCCATCGCGGACAGGCACGAGATCAAGTTCCTCGAGGACGCCTGCGAGGGCCTGGGCGGCGCGCACGCGGGGCAGAAGGTCGGCTCGTTCGGCCACGCGGCGGTCTTCGGGTTCTACCCCAACAAGCAGATCACGACGGGCGAGGGCGGGATGGTCGTGACGGACGACTCGCGCCTCGCCGAGCGGTGCGTCTCGCTCCGCAACCACGGGCGCGACCCGCACGCGAAGGCGTCGTCGACGGGCATGCTGCTCTCGCACGACAAGCTTGGCTACAACTACCGGATGCCCGAGCTGAACGCCGCGCTGGGCCTCGCGCAGCTCCGCCGGCTCGACGACATCCTCGAGAAGCGGAACCGCGTCGCGGAGAATTACATCGAGCACTTCATGGGCAACTCGGAGGTCATCCTCCCGACGGTCGACCCGAAGACGTCGATGAGCTGGTTCGTGTTCGTGATCCGGCTGTCCGATCAGTACACGCAGGAGGAGCGCGACCGGATCATCCAGGGGATGCACCGGCACGACGTCGGCGCGGCGTGCTACTTCCCGTGCATCCACCTCCAGCCGTACTACCGCGAGACGTTCGGCTTCAAGGTGGGCGATTTCCCGATCGCCGAGTCCGTCTCGGCGCGGACGATCGCGCTGCCGTTCCACACGCGCCTTTCCAAGCGCGACGCGTCGTTCGCGGCCCAGACGTTCGAGCTGATGCTCTCGCGCGAGAACATCCGCCGGACGTAGGCGCGGCCCGGGATCCCCGCTCCAAAAACGAGACGCGGCGCCCTTTCGAGCGCCGCGTCCGAGGCCAGTTGGGATGATCGATAGGTTGTGACGTGCTGACGGATCTCTCTGTCTCTCTCCTGCCCGAACGGCGCGATCCCCCGATCGCGACCGCTCACTCGTCGCCGGGGTTGCCCTTGTTCTCCGCGTCGAGGAGCTTGCGGAGGTAGTTGTTCTCGCGTCGGGTGGCTTCGAGGTCGAAGACCAGGTACTTCACGCTCAGGCGGAGGTGATCGAGGTTGTCCTGCAGGCCCTTGACGGTCTCGCGGATCGTGTCGTGGCGCTTCTTGGTTTCGTCGGCCAGGGCGCGGAGCCGTCCCTGCTGCTCCTCGGGGAGCTCCTCGATCTTGGAAAGGAGCTCGGTCAGCTTGCTGTTGAATTCCTGGTCTTTCATCTCTTCTCCTTCGAGCGTGCTGATCTTTGAATGTTCCACCGGCGCGGCCGCCGGGCAAGAGGAGAGATGCAAGGCCCGCGCCAACGGCGCTTCACGCGTGCCGGGCGATCGTGCCAACGCGGGGGCGTCCGGAAAAACCGGGCCCGGCGCGGCCTGGGACGCGATAACACCGCGGACGCTGCCCGGGCGTCTCGCGGGGTCGCGGTCCGGTTGTGCGGGGTGATGCCGAAAATCAACGCGCGCCGTTGAGGCGCTTCAGCGCCGAGGCGGCGAACTTCGGGGGGCTCGAGAGCAGGGAGAGGGCGGAATTGTCCTTGGCGCGCCTCGCCTCGCCGGCGAGTTTCTTGAGGTGCACGTCCCGCTCGTAGGCGTAGCGCTGGAATTCCTGCTCGAGCACCGCGCGGGTGTACCGCGTGAGCGGGTCCGCCAGGCGGGTCTGCACCGCCGCCCAGTCGAGCAGGGACGCCCCGGTCGGCTCGTACTTGTAGAGGTCGATCGTCGCCTTGAGACGCTCGGCGAGGCTCACGAAGGGGTCCCGGGTGGCCTCGGGGAGGACGCCGAAGATGTCCTTAAGCTCCCGGCCCTCGAGGTGGGCCGTGTCGGCCTCGTCGTGGCGAGCGGGCCTGGGAGCGCCGTTCTGAGCCGGGGCGGGCGTTTCGGCGGGGGCGTCGTCCGCGGGGACGATCCTGGCGACGGCGGTCGTGACGGTTTTGAGCCCGGCGCGCTCGAACCGCGCGGAGAGCCTCTGGCAGGCCTTGCCGTTCTCCGTGAGGTTCTGGACCCGGGTGATCGTGCCGACACCCCACTCCGGGCAGCCCTCGTTGCGGACGCGATCGCCGAATGAAAAGACGTGATCGGACATGCTGGATGCGATCCCTCCGGGGACACGCCCGCCCGGGACGGCCGGCCGAAAGGGCCTTCCGCCGCGATCTTCGCGGGTGCGGTGATGCCATCTCTGTTCAAATCCACCCATGTGGTCGGCGGGCACAACTTGCCGACCGGACTCCAAAATCCTACCATACCGGGCTCGACAGTGACAACCGCCAGGCCCAGGCATTCGGCCCGATCCCGCCCGGAACGCGGGGGAGCGGTGTCGCCCGATCGATCCCAGGAGCATTCTTGTAATGATCGAAGCGCTCAAGAGCGAAGAAATCGTGAACAAGGCCGGCGGACGCTTCAAGCTCTGCGCCCTGATCCAGCACCGCCTCGTCCAGCTCGTCGACGGCGCCCGCCCGCTCATCGAGCGCGACGGCCGTTCCGATCTCGAGGTCGCGATCGAGGAGATCCTCCAGGGCAAGATCGGCATCGACTACGAGAACTCCGAGCTGCCGCACCCCGACGACCAGCCCGAGAACCGCTGATCCCCGAACGCGCGGTCCGCCCATGACCGATCCTATGACACCCTTCAAATCGGACGACCGCTTCCGCGGCGTGCCGATCGTTGTCGGCGTGAGCGGGGGGATCGCCTCGTACAAGGTGTGCTCGATCGTCTCCGCGCTCGCGCAGTCCGGCGCCGAGGTGACGGTCGCGATGACGCCCGGCGCGACGAGGTTTGTCACGCCCATGACGTTCCAGGCGCTGAGCGCGAAACCGGTGATCACCTCGATGTGGGAGCACGAGGTGCACGCGGACCCGCAGCACGTCGCGCTCGCACGCGGCGCCCGCGCTGTGCTCGTCGCGCCCGCGACGATGAACACGATCGCCCGCCTCGCCAACGGCTTCGCGGACGACCCCGTCTCGCTCATTCTGAGCGCGGTGGACGTGAGCGCCACGCCCGTCCTGCTCGCGCCCTCGATGAACGAGCAGATGTGGAACCAGCCGAGCACGCAACGCAACGTGAAGCGGCTCGCGGAGGACGGCTACCGATTCTCCGGGCCCGCCGGCGGGTGGCAGGCGTGCCGCACCGTCGGGGCCGGGCGGATGGCGGAACCATGGGAAATCCTGCATGATCTGGCGGAGGCGATCGCGGGCCCGAGCCGCGCGTGAGCCCGACCCGCCGCCCATGAGCCACCACGAGCACAACCCGAAGCACCCCCCGGTCCTGCTCGAGCAGATCGCGTCGTCGCTCATCTGGCCCTCGGCGCTCCGCGGCCCCGCGATGGCGTTCCAGCCGGCGCGCTGGGTCCTGGGGATCTGCTGCGTGCTCGCGTTCCGGGGGCTCATCGCCCTCGCGGGCGTGCTCGATGTCCCGGCCGCGGTCGGTGTGTCGCGGTCCGTGACGCGCGGGCTGGGCGACGTCTACGACGCAGTGTGGACGCTCGACGTGGCCGCGATTGCCGCCGCGATCGAGCACCGCCTCGCCACCCCGGTGCACAACACGCTCCGCGAGGATCCCGTCGCGTTCACGCTCACGGGACTCGCCTTCTTGCTCGTGTGGTCGATCTTCGCGAGCGCGATCGCGCGTTCGAGCGCGACGCAGATCGCGACGGGCGTGACGAGCCCCGCGTTCTCGAGCCTGCGGTTCGGTGTCACGAGCCTGCGCGCGGTCTTCGCCGCGTTCCTGGTGCCGATCGTGGGGGCGTCGCTGCTGGCGTTCGTCGCGTGGGGCCTTGCGAGCGCGTTCCCGTCGCTGCCGCTCCTCGCGTTCGTGCCGGTTCTCGTGATGATCGTCGTGCTCGTGGTGCACGGGGCGTCGTGGTTCTTCCTGCCTCCGGCGGTGGCGTGCGAGCGGACGGACGCGATGGACGCCCTGCAGCGCTGCGGCGCGTACCTCATCACGAGGCCGCTCCGCACGCTCGCGTACGCGTCGATCGCGGTCGCGGTGGGGGCGCTGGCGTGGTCGGTGCTCGCGTACGTCGTGGACGGCGCGGTGCACACGACGCATGCGCTCACGGGCGCCGAGGAGGCCGTCGATCCCGGCTCGCTCTGGGTCCGAGCGGCGCACCTGCTCACGCAGGGGTACCTCGTGAGCCTGATCTCGACGTCCGCCACGATCGTCTACCTGCTCATCCGGCGCGTCTGCGACGAGCAGGACGTCCGCGACATCGCGCTGGACGGGCCGACGCCCTTCGCCCGCGCGCACGACGCGACGGGGGACGCGTGATGGAACAGGAAGTCTTCGCCCGGGTCGGCGAGCGGCTGAACCGCGCCACCGGCGTCTCCGACGAGGCCCTGGAGCACGCCCTCCGCACGAGCCGCGAGGCCGGGCTGCCCGAGATCCAGGTCCAGCCGAGCCTCGGTCGGCAACTCCGCGTGCTCGCCCGGGCGATCGGCGCGAGACGGGTGCTCGAGATCGGCGTGCTCGGCGGGTACTCCGCGATCTGCCTCGCGCGGGCGCTGCCGGAAGACGGGCTGCTCATCGGACTGGAGATCGACGAGAACGCGGCACGCGTCGCGAGGGCCAACCTCGAGTTCGCTGGCCTGGCGGATCGCGTAGACATCCGCC